TTCACCATGTTGACCAGGATGGTCTCGATCTCTTGACCTCGTGATCCACCCGCCTCGGCCTCCCAAACTGCTGGGATTACAGGCTTGAGCCACCGTGCCCGGCCCCTGATTAATTCTTACAAGAAAGAAGGAACCAGGTGGAGAAGCGGATCATAAGATTGACATGGAACGTGACCACTGAAGCACAGCATCCCATAGAGACAATTAAGCCCCTGGATGTCTGCGGGCCTACTGGACAGCGTCAGGCCTACCATAAAAGCTTGGAGAAATGGAGTTTTCTCCTAACTCCTCCGAGGAAGGAGACATCTCAGCTATTTTGGATGTCTCCTTCCCTAGCTGGCTAAACAGTGGGCGCTTTTGCTGCTTAGCCAAGGCACCCTCCAGCAGCCCGTATGAGGGTGTGACAGAGGGCTTAAAGCGTCTTGCCTTAGAGTCATTCATTTCACAATGTCGCCCCAGGTTCACACTTCCAACCTGAGAGGCATTAGTAAAAGAATTAAGATCACCTATGAATAACTAATAAATACTAATTTCTAGTTACTTTCTTCTTCATTATTTATATGGAGATAAGCTGAGGCTTTTGGCTCCAGCATCTGCACTTATGGGATCTCCCTTCTACAGTGAGCCATGATTGTGCAAACAGAAACCCCTTCCATGGAGAGTGAGAGCCCATCCTCCAGGGATGGCACCAGTGTGGGCATATCCAGACCCCTCTCTGGTGATGTTCAGCTCAGAAGTTAGGGCAAATGGAGAACCAGGAAGGGTAGATTCATCCTCTGGCTGTGTTGTGTCCCTTCTAGACATGAGAACTGGGGAAATGATAGAGATAGGGCTAAGGATCATGGGGTACCTGGCTCCATTCGGGGGTGGTGGGGGTGAACTTTTTGCCTCCTGGTGCCAAGTATGCCCTAGATGGAATTCTTTGGGAGCACTCATCAGAGTGCAGTCTGACTTGACTTGGACTCTAGTGGATGCTGAGCCTACAGGCATAACTGGGATCAGACAGGATGAGATGGAAAAGAACACAGGGTGATCATAGGATCCAATCATTGCTTTCCATTTGGTAACTTATATGGTTCTTCTTCTTCTTCTTTTTTTTTTGAGACAGAGTCTCACATTGTCTCTCAGGCTGTAGTGCAGTGGTTCAATCTCAGCTCACTGCAATCTCCACCTTCTGGGTTCAAGCAATTCTCCTGCCTCAGCCTCCCAAGTAGCTGGGACTACAAGCATGCACCACCACGTCCAGCTAATTTTTTTTTTTTTTTTTTTTTGTATTTTTAGTAGAGATGGGGTTTCACCATGTTGGCCAGGATGGTCTCGATCTCCTGACCTCATGATCCACCCACCTTAGCCTCCCAAAGTGTTGGGATTACAGGCGTGAGCCACCGCGCCCAGCCTCTTTTTTTTTGAGATGGAGTCTCATTCTGTTGCCCAGGCTGGAGTGCAGTGGCGTGATCTCAGCTCACTGCAACCTCCACCTCCTGGGCTCAAGTGTTTCTCCTACTTCAGCCTCCAGAGTAGCTGGGACTACAGGCACTCACCACCATGCCTGGCTAATTTTTGTATTTTTAGTAGAGGTGGGGTTTCACCATGTTGGCCCGGCTGGTCTCGAGCTCCTGGCCTCAAATGATCCACAACCTTGGTCTCCCAAAGTGCTGGAATTATAGGCATGAGTCATCATGCCTGGCCAATTTTTTGTAATTTTAGTAGAGCCAAGGTTTCACCATGTCAGTCAGGCTGGTCTTGAACTCCTAACCTCAGGTGAACTGCCCTCCTCAGCCTCCCAAAATGCTAGTATTACAGGTGTGAGCCACCCCCTTCCCCAGCCTTATATGGTTCTCCATGGATCCTGGACCCACCTCTATCTGAGCAGAGAGACCTGTTGGAGATCTAGATGTGAATGAAGGCATAGCCTGGAAGGGATTGCCCCAAGAGAAAATATGTGTGCCAGGGAGAAAAGCCAGGGTTGAATCTTGAGGAGCCAATTCCTGGTGATGGAGAAGAAGCAGAGCCTAGAAAAGATTCTGAGAGGCAGGACAAGCAGCAGGAGGAAGTTGAGGTCACAAGGGGCAAAACTTTGACGATGCTAGCAAGATTTAATTAAGGACCAAGGACCACAGGCAGATAAAGTTTTAGCTATATGGTATTTCATGATGACTTTTTCAAGAGCAATTTTGGGGAAGGAGTGGCAGCACACTGAGGTGGCAAGTAACAAGGATATGGAGCTTGTGGGGACAAATGGCTTCAAGAATTTGACTGGAGGGTAGGAAGGGGAGACAAGAGGGCCTTGGGGTGTTGGGAGGTATCTAAAGGCAAGTGGCTTGTAAGTGCTTAATTGCTGGAAAGGAGGAGGAAGGAGCTTGGAAAGGGAACAGCAGCAAATGTGAAGGGGTCTGCAGGGCAGTGTGAGCCTCCTGGAAACCTATCGGCAATCACAAGAGGGTAGCACCAGGGCTCCAAGTGAGGGCACTGAAAAGCAAGTCCAAGGTGAAGTGGGACAAGGAAGGTCGAGGCCTTCAAGTCAGGGTCTGTGCAGTCTGTAACAAGCCTTGGCACCACCATTTCTGTGCAGGCCCTCTGAATCCAACTGACAGCCCCTGAAAGGGGCAAAGGCTCTCTTCCCCGGTCGTGGGGAAGGGTCTACCCGTAGACTTCTGGGAAGGCCAGATACAAGGTAGGCCAGGGAGTTAATAGGTAATGCCCCCAAACAGCTCTCAACTCATGACTAATGGAGATTTGAAAATGAGTACCTCAGCTCCCCTTGCTCTTGGGGGCAGCAATAATGTAAGGCCTATGTTCTACTCTGGCTCCCAGAATTCCCAGCAGGATTTGGTCCCAGTTGCCCACAGTGGTAGCTTGCTTGATGACACTTCCTTTATTGGCTGCTTTCCTTGTCTCCTTGCCACTGCTGGTGTTTCTTGGCCTCACCTCCCATTCTAACTATATGCATGTATATCTTTGTTTCCAGGTCTGCTTTGGGGAAACTAAGACAAGCACTGCCCATGACAGGGGAACAAGGCAGTGAGCAGACACAGACAACTGCAAGGATCTCTTCCCACAGGTACCACTGACCTGTACAAATAGGCCCCCAGCTTGAAGACTCAGCTAACACTCTGAATGCTCAGAAAATAGGCAGGGCCAAGATCTGGGCCTGAGGTAGGTGGGCCTGTCACACCATTTTGCTCTTGCTTGACCCCAGAGTTGGTTAGAGACAAGCCCAGGATCCTAAAGATGGTTAGTTATAATGCGCCTTGGGTCCTGAAGTAGCCCAGGTCTCAGGCCCTATAGGATAAGGCCAGAGTGACCCACTTGGGAGGTCCCCTGGCCTTTGACTCTTCTAGCACATCCTCTGCTCAGTGTGACTCCCTTCAAGAATTCTCCCCACCCAGGTTTGTAGAACGGCCAGTACCTTCTGTTCCTCTACCCCTGCTAGCCTCAGTGTACACTGTAAGACCTATTCCTGCTTTATGCCATGATAAGGGCGACCCAGGCTGTCCCAAGGCAGAGGCCCAGGCCATGCCCTCAGTGGCCTCCAGGGGGCGCCGCCACGAAGCCTGACATTGGGCTCCCGGGAGCTCAGCGGAGGTGGGCTGGCGCCTGCCGCACAAGCCCTCGGGTTCGGCTGGTCTGCTCTACAGTCTGCGTCCCCCAGGGTGGGTCCGGCTCCGAACTGCCCCTTGCCATACACGTGTTGTGTCGCTCACCGCTGCCTCATTTCTACTCCTGCCCGAGGTCGGACGCTAAATCCTGGCAGGCCCAGTGTCCACGTGTCCGTTTGTCTGTCCGTTTGAATGTGGCCATGGGTCGGCGCGCCCCACTCCAGCTGCGGCATGTGCAGGGTTAAGGCGGGAGGAGGTTTCCCTGAGTCGGAGGGGGAGGGGGCGAGGGGCGGACCTGGCCCAGCCCCGCCCCGCGCCGGAGCAGTGCCGGAGCCCCGCCGGAGCCCGATTTCAGCTCCAGCCAGATCCGGCGTCAGCGGAGGCGGAACGGCGGACCCCGTGCCCTGGCAGCTTCGGAGCATCGGCGGGTGAGTCCCGCGGGAACCACGCTCAGGGGAAGTTTGGGGCGCAGGGCGTAGAACCCCAAGCGCACTAGCCCAGACCCGCCCCCCGCATCCTTGAGCTGGAAGTTTGGGGCCAGGAGGCCCTCCTGCCTGGGGTCCAGGAGTGTAGCCCCCAAGAGAAAGGGGTGGCTGGAGAACTTGGGGATCTGCTGCGAGGGAACCCAGAAGTCCAGCTGCCATTCTTGCTGGAAACGCCCTGGACTCGGACCCTGGAGTCCTGTGGTCATGAGATTCCCCCAACGGCCCCCCCACTCCTCTTCTGGACACCAGAGAATCTGGCTTCTGGGGGGTTTGGAATGGGCAAACCCCTGAGGGGAGACCGCCAGAGGAGAGTGTGGAACTGTGGTGTGCAGCCCTCCCCCTAGTCCGAAACACACCTGACTCTGGCCCTTTACTGGTGGGAATGCTTTAAATTAACCCTGTGGAATGGCCCCCAGGATGTTGTAAGGCTACTCTGGAATCTGACCCCTGACAGCAGGCATGGGTACTCCTTAGGCTGCCCAGAGCACTCTGAAAGCCAGTAAGGGGAGGATACAGTAGGACTCCCCTCATGCAGAACTAGTGTGAGGCTTGTTGAGGGGAAAGAAAGGGGTCCAGGATGGAGAGTCCTGTTCTAGTCACCTTACTACTGCCTTCCTAGACCCAGATTTGATCCAGTTGCTGAGTGGTTAGGGTAGTGGGTGGGAAGGAGCCTTCATTCCCCCATGAGAAAGAGGAAAGCTTCCTGGGTACCTGGGGTCTGCCCTCCTTCCCACTCCAGGAGTGCCTCCACAGTGGTGTGCTAGCCAGAGGGGTTGGGTTCTCCCCATGCCTTTCCCACCAGTGATTTTGGGTCAGCTCTACCCTCAGCTACAGGCTGCTTATCTGTTTCCTAAGGGGCTGGTCAGTGGCCCTGACCCCTGTTTTCCCTCTCTCCTCAGGTGGAGGCAAGGTCCCTGGACTGGTCACATACCCCTTGTGGCCCTGGCAGAATCAAGATGAGGCCCTATCATGCCTCCCCAGTGAGGCCTACAGTCTGAGCAGACAGCATGGCCTGCCATTGGCAGTGAACACCATGTCTGCAGGAGGTGGCCGGGCCTTTGTTTGGCAGGTGTTCCCCCCTATGCCCACTTGCCGGGTCTATGGCACAGTGGCACACCAAGATGGGCACCTGCTGGTGTTGGGGGGTTGTGGCCAGGCTGGACTGCCCCTGGACACTGCTGAGACACTGGACATGGCCTCGCACACATGGCTGGCACTGGCACCCCTGCCCACTGCCCGGGCTGGCGCAGCTGCGGTGGTTCTGGGCAAGCAGGTGCTAGTGGTGGGTGGTGTGGATGAGGTCCAGAGCCCGGTAGCTGCTGTGGAGGCCTTCCTGATGGATGAGGGCCGCTGGGAGCGTCGAGCCACCCTCCCTCAAGCAGCCATGGGGGTTGCAACTGTCGAGAGAGGTGAGTGGCCTCCCAAGGAAGGCACTTCAGGTACCCTAACACCTTTTACTATTTGCTTAGTCCCTTGCCCTCAGAGACTGAACAAGAGCTGTAATTTTTACATGGGTGCCCAGGATGTGGCCTTGTCTCCTGTATCCTTTCCAACCTAGCTTTGAGCTAGGCTTTCAGCAGCCTTCTATTAACTGCCTTTTCTGACTAAGGTGGGAGGCAGAGCCCAAGCCGATCCCAGAATGATGGGAGGCCCCAGCCATGTCCCTGCCCCACTCCTCATTTCTAAGAGATGGGGGTGGGATGACCTAATGACTTCCAGGGTTATAAATAGTCTGGGGTGGGGGACAGGAGTAGGGCCTTGGCTCAGAGCCTGGCAAGTGCTTAGACTTCCCCCACTAAACCCTTCCCACACAACAGAGAGCCTGATATGGACAAAGGCCAAGCTGACCTGGGGATGGTTGCCATGGAAGCCCCCAGCTGACTGGCCCATTACCCCAAGGCCCCCAGACATACCCCAGCTGACTCTGAGGGTTTAACAGAGGGCAAGAGGCTACAATAGTGAAAGACTGTGGCAGAGGTGAAAGAGGTGCCATAGTGAAAGAGGTGCCAGCAGGATCCCAGGGCAGAAGGCTTGTAGACAGTACCTTTGCCCAACAGACTCAAACCATTCCTCTCCCAACCCCATCTCTAATTCCAGCTGGTCCCTAAGCCCCCTCCCCAGACTGAGCTCTGTGCTAAGCAGATCCCCATGTTTCCCACCCTGTCTTAAGCCATCTTCCTCCCCCAGGGGAGTCCCCACCATGTGGCCTCCAGGTCTGACCACCAGCCCAGGCCAGCCCTGCTTGGATGCCAGACTCTGTTGCCATAGTGTCTCCAGGGAGACAGAGTCAGATTATAATTAGACCAGCTGCCTCCTGCTCTTTACTCAGAGGGGCCCTGACCAGAGAAGGAATCCCAGCTCCCCCAGCCCCCACACCAAGCAGGTAGTAGAGTGTCTGCTGCTGGGGAGGGATGCCATAAACACATGGGTCTCCAGCCACCCCCAGGCCTGACCAGGACAGCTGTCAGGGTGGGGTGCCCTGGCAGGCTGGGGTGCAGTCTGAACTACTCTTTTTCTATGCAGATGGTATGGTGTATGCTCTGGGGGGAATGGGCCCTGACACGGCCCCCCAGGCCCAGGTACGTGTGTATGAGCCCCGTCGGGATTGCTGGCTTTCGCTACCCTCCATGCCCACACCCTGCTATGGGGCCTCCACCTTCCTGCACGGGAACAAGATCTATGTCCTGGGTAAGGGCCTGGGAGATGTGGGAAAGGGGTTCAGAGTCTAGAAATCCCCATCCTCATAGGTTGGCTGGGATAGAGATTGGGCTCAGTCCAGGATGGCAGAAGAAGAGAAGCTTTGTTGCGTTGATTCATGGCTGCTCTGAGGCTCTGACCCCTGATGGCTCTGATGGAGTTGGAAAACCAAACCCCAATGCCTGAGGGCCTACAGGGTGGATGATCCATGTGCAAGTGTACACACAGCAGGATGTGTGGGAGGCTGGGGCAGGCAGATCAGCACCTAGTGATCGAGGAGCCCACCAAGCCTCCTGGGCTCCTTCCCAGGTACCCCAATTCCATTGACAGGGGGCCGCCAGGGCAAGCTCCCTGTGACTGCTTTTGAAGCCTTTGATCTGGAGACCCGTACCTGGACCCGGCATCCAAGCCTACCCAGCCGTCGGGCCTTTGCTGGATGTGCCATGGCTGAAGGCAGTGTCTTTAGCCTGGGTGGCCTGCAGCAGCCTGGGCCCCATAACTTCTACTCTCGCCCACACTTTGTCAACACTGTGGAGATGTTTGACCTGGAGCATGGTGAGCAGTCGCTGTTGTGGGCCATCCTCTCACTCTGTATGGGATGGAGGGGCATAGTAGGTACATGAATAGAGTTGACCTCCCCTCTCCTGCAGGATCCTGGACCAAGCTGCCCCGCAGCCTGCGCATGAGGGATAAGAGGGCAGACTTTGTGGTTGGCTCCCTTGGGGGGCACATTGTGGCCATTGGGGGCCTTGGTAAGTCTCTGTGGGGCTGGGGAGAGGAGGGAGTTCCAAGACAGGAAAGAGTAGCCCTTAACATGTGTGCCACCTTCTGCCCATCTCCAGGCACTCCAGGGGTCGGGTCAGGGCTTTGTGAACTCTTTCCCCTATCTGCGAAGCAGGCAGGATGTGATCTGCCTGGCCCAGCACTCAGGGTATCCCTCAGTGACGGGGGGCTCTGTCAAGCACCAGCAAGGGTCTACAAGACAGCAGCAGGACAAATGACCACTGTATGCACAGTCAAAAGGGCAAATAGAAACATGAATGAACAAATGAGGAACACAGGCAATGAGGAGCAAGACAATGATAGCTCATCCTGGGATGATACCTACTGGGCTATTTTCTGGACTCAGGGAGAGGAAGGGCCTCGAGTCCCTATAGTATATGCCTCTCACAGCCTTCTCTCTCCTTCTTGTAGGAAACCAGCCATGTCCTCTGGGCTCTGTGGAGAGCTTTAGCCTTGTACGACGGCGCTGGGAGGCATTGCCTGCCATGCCCACTGCCCGCTGTTCCTGCTCTAGTCTGCAGGCTGGGCCCCGGTTGTTTGTTATTGGGGGTGTGGCCCAGGGCCCCAGTCAAGCCGTGGAGGCACTGTGTCTATGTGATGGGGTCTGAAGGCCTGGTGGGATCTGTCCACTGGAGCAGCTCAGTGCCAGAGGCAGCTATTTCTATGGCTCCTTTTGCTGCTGAGGACACTCACTGTGGCTCTGTGGGATGAGAAAGGCATGGGGATGAGGACTTGAGACACTGGCTTGGGGCCTTGGGTTAGGGGAGCCTTCGTCTTTAGTGCAGGCCACACATATGCTTACACATACCTTTATCACCATTCGTTCATGAACCATGCCTAGCTCCATCCTTGCCCTGGGACCTACTAGGCCTTCCATCCAACTGGGAAATGGGGAGAAGGAAAGCTGGCGTCATGCTCTTCAGGATTAGTTCCTATCTGGAGTTGACCAGGCCCACCCCAGTTGCCATTCCTGAAAAATGCCAGGTGCCAGCCTGCCTTTAGGGTCCCGGTAGACCCAGGAGAATTCAGAGAGGGTGGGGGACACAGAGAGAGTAGAAAGGATGTGGGAACTGCCAGAGGGCCAGAGCCCAGGAGTTCAAGCAGAGGAGTGCTGGCTTTGGGCCCTTTACACTGCTGGTTGTATGACCTTGAGCAAGTCACTTCACCTCTCTGTGCCTCAGCATCCTCATCTATAAATGGGGATCTCTGAAACCTTCTTACCCTACCTACCTCACAGGGCTGTTGTGAGGACCCAGGGAGTTTGGATGTGGAAGTAAAAGTGCTGCTAAAACCTAGTGTGTGGACCCTGGTATGAACTCCCTTCTTGCATCCACTGCTTCTGCCTTCCTTTGGGGGTCTCAATGCTCCTAAGAATGAGGGTCCAGAAGAAGCCTCTTGGATCTGGTCTGTGTTCCCAAAGTGATTTGGTGCATTAGTTTCATCTAAGCCTCAGCTTCTTTGGCAACATGTGATGACAGCTCCTCCTTACAGTCCTGGGGATTAGAGAGCACTAGGATAGTAAACAAGGGCTGTCATCACATGTCACCAAAGGATGGCAGCATAGGATGACAAGGGAAGTGCTCAGAAAACACCACAGGGTTAGGAAGACCTCCAGATCCAAGTTACAGTGTCTCCTCAGGATCTCGGCTCACCCTTCTTACAGGGAGGGGTGGTTCATTGGGTTCTGTGGCCCAGGGCAGTCTCCTGTCTCAGCTGTGGGGCAGCCATTTCTTGGACAGGACTGTGTGGCCACCCAACAAACTCCTCAAAGGCAGCTGCCTCCTGAGAAAGCTGCCCACTCTTCCCTCTTCCAGCCTCTGCTGCCTACTAGTAGGGGTCTCTGGGATCTGCTTTCCCCACAGCTACACTGAGTACTTGGCCTGCCTCCCCAGTGAGCCTTTCATTCTAGGGTGAAGCACCTAGGAAGTCAGTGGCCTGCAGTATATTTGCACATTTTCTGGCAAGCTGGCAGAGGAAACCAACACAGAGATGCCTCTGTTTGGGGGAATAGGATATTTCCTAGAGGAGAAAGGTTGTGGGGAAGATAGCCACTCCTCTGCCTTCATAAGGAGCCCTCCCTCAGGGTCATCCCCTCCACCCTACTGCCTGTTCTGTCCTGACTTCAACTTAGGTTGGGGATGGCCCTCTATTCTTCCTCTCTACAGCTGGGTTTGCTGCAAGAACAGAGTAGTACTTGGGGCCCTGGAACCCACTTGCTGTGGCTATGGCAACCCTCCTGGACTCTTAGCCTCTTGCAAACCCTACCCTTTCTCACTTAGTGGCAGGGCTCCCAGAGCAGTACCTCTCATGCCCAGCACAAAAACACCATGGGCATAAGTGCCATAGGAGACAGGCACAGGACCTGGCAGCCCACTACTACCTTTCGGCCTCTAATACATCTTGGGCTGCAAGCACAGACAGGCTGCTGTGTCAGCTGTCCTCGTTTAATGCTCTGGACCAGTTTAGACACTCAGAGACCCCAGCATGAAGGTAGTGCTGCAGCAGCTTGGGTCTTGGGATCCCTGGGAGGTCAGGCAGTGTGTCGGTGACTAACGCCTGGGGCCCTACCTTGTAGCTGCCACAGTGGCCCCCCCGGGATGGGTAGCAGAAGTTCTGCTGGTAGGTGGTCCTAGCATGGGAAGGCTGGACCTGCACAAAGTGGACGAGGCGCTGGGGGAGTCCACTGAGTCCTGGGCCTGGTCGGAAATCAGCCTGGTAAGAAGATTCCAGGGGCCCTTGCTGGCGCAACTCCATCTCACAGGGTGCCCAGCGCAGGAAGGTGTGCCGCTGCCACAGACGCTCCAGGTCCTTCCGCCTTCCGATTCCCTGCAGCAGGCAGTAGGGGCCCTCCTCAACGGTACGGGCCCTTGGCCCATATTCCTGGCACCAAGCACCTTCTTGGGCCCCTCCTAACCCCAAGTCTGCTTAGTGATGCCTGTCCTATGCCTGTCTGTCTTGGCCTATACCCTGGCCTCCTTGGGCTGCCTCCCCAGTGATGTCTTTCATTGTTTTTTTTTTTTTTTTTAAGATGAAGTCTTGCCCAGTTGCCCAGGCTGGAGTGCAGTGGTGCCATCTCAGCTCACTGCAACCTCTGCCTCCTGGGTTCAAGCGATTCTGCCTCAGCCTCCCAAGTGGCTGGGACTATAGGCATGTGCCGCCAGGCCCAGCTAACTTTTGCATTTTTAGAAGAGATGGGGTTTCACCGTGTTGGCCAGGCTGGTCTTGAACTCCTGACCTCGTGATCCATCTGCCTCAGTCTCCCAAAGTGCGGAGAATTACAGGCCTGAGCCACCGTGCCTGGCCTGATGACTTTCATTCTAAGGTGAAGCACCCAGAGAGTCAGTGGCCTACAGGATATTTGCACATTGTCTGGAAAGCTGGCAGAGGAAACCAGTGGAGATGCCTCTGTTTGGGGGAGTAGGCTGTTTCTTAGAGGAGAAAGTTTGTAGGGGAAGAGAGCCACTCCTCTGCCTTCATAAGGAGCCCTCCCTCAGGGTCATCCCCTCCACCCCACCGCCTGCTCTGTCCAGACTTCGGCTTAGGCTGGGAGACTGCCTGCCATTCTTCCTCTCTTCAGAACTCACTTTGTCAAAGGAAGTACGGTTGTCATGCTTGGAGAAGAAGTGTTGCTGTGCCGGCTCCTTGAAAGACATTGAGAAAGGAGGTGAATGGGGAAAGTAATGCTTATTTACCCACCCTTACCTGGATCACTGCCCCAGGGTCCCTAATGGAGGGAAGTCACCAGGAGCCACTGCCCCTAAGCTGCTTAACTGCCAACAGACAGAGGGCAGAGACTAATTAAAGCAACATTTCAGTCCTGGGATATCTCATCCTGGGACTTGCCCTGAAGCAGAAGCATCTGGAACCCTTATTGAGGAGGGTCCTGAGGCATCTTCCAGGACATCCTGCCATCAGGGGAGCAGCGGCTGAGTTTCAAGTTGGGCCTTAACTCTCAATTGCCCGTGACTTCAGTCCTCTCCTCTCCTGCATCCACATGTACTCCCTCATCAGCATACCCAGGTTCTTGGCCCTAAATGCTATCTGAAAACTGGAATTTCTATCTCCAGCTTGAGCTTCCTCCTGAATTCTGGACTCAAAAGACTATTCCTTACTCCACATCTCCATGTAAATGCCCAATTGGATATCTCCAAACATATGACTGAGCTTTGGGTTAGCCCCAGACACACTCTACCTACAGCCTCCCCCAGCTTAGACCACAGCAGCCAGATCCCATCAAACACCTTGAGTCCCCTTAATTCTCTTCTCTCATACCTCACATTGAAGGTGCCAGTATCCTGTTGATACTGTGGTCAAAATGTACTCAGGACCAGACCACTTCTCAGCATGCCCACTGTTTTCCCTGGTCCAAGCCACCTTCCTCTCTTGCCTGAATTATTCCAAGAGCTTCCTGCCTGGTGTCCCTGCTTTCAAACTTGCCCCTCCAGTCTGTTGTCCACTTAGCAGCCAGCATATTCCGTTAGTACATAAATGAGATCACATCTCCTTTGCTGAAAATTCACAGCAGTTCCTCCTGTTTGTGATAGCCAGTCATCATAGTGGTCTGTGAGACCCACACGATATTTGGTCCTTTTGTTATCTCCAGCCACATTGGTTTCCCCACTGCTCCTCGGAAATACCAGGTGCTCGCACTCAGGGCTTTGTGCCACCTGTTTCTTCTCCTGGCCATATAATTTCCTCACACCTCCCTCTTCCTTCCTTGAGCACTATGCCAATAGTTCCGTCACCCTAACCCTGCATTTTTCTCTCCTGCTAACTATATGATTCTTTTTTTTTTTTTTTTTTTAAAGATGGGGTTTCACCATATTGGTCAGGCTGGTCTCAAAATCCAACCTCAGGTGATCCGCCCACCTCAGCCTCCCAAAGTGCTGGGATTACAGGTGTGAGCCACCGTGCCTGGCTTCATATGATTCTATAATATGTTGTTGCCCCCGCCCCAATTAGAACATCTCATGCCCCTCATTAGAACATAAGCTTCTTGTAGGCAAAGGTGGTCTGTCTTGCTCACATCTATAACTCTAACACTGAGAATAATGCCTGACACTGTGCTCAGTAAATGTTGCTGTTAAATCAATGAACCTGCTGTGGCTCACACCTGTAATCCCAGCACTTTGGGAAGCTGAGGCAGGTGGATCACCTGAGGTCAAGAGTTTGAGACCAGCCTGGCCAACATAGTGAAACCCCGTTTCTACTAAAAATGCAAAAATTAGGCTGAGCGTGGTGGCTCACACCTGTAATCCCAGCACTTTAGGAGGCTAAGGCGGGCAGATCACTTGAGGTCATGAGTTCAAGAAACCCCATCTCTACTAAAACACACAAAAAAATTAGCTGGGCGTGGTGGTGCCTGCCTGTAATCCCAGCTACTCATGAGGCTGAGGTGGGAGAATCGCTTAAACCTGGAGGCAGAGGTTGCAGTGATCCGAGATCACGCCACTGTACTCCAGCCTGGGCAACTCTGTCTAAAAAAACAAATTAATGAACAGGGACAGAAAGTCCTGGCCCCATGGCATTTACTTTGGCTCAGTTGGAGCTAGAGAGCCTTGCTCCCCTCCTAGGCAGAGAAAGAGCATCTCTTAGGCCTCCAGACTTCAGCAGGAATCTGTCCCAAGGCCACCTTCTTGCCTTGTGCCTGGGTTCTGCCCTCAGAGCCATTCCCTCCCAGCCACTCAGCTTCTTGTGCTGTAGACCTGAAGTGGCCAGATCTGGCAAGGTCAGGCTTGGCTGGCTTGGGAGTACAGGTAATGGCTGAAAGCAGGTTCCCAGATAAAATGCTCCATCCTATATCCCTGAACCAGAATAAGGGTAGAGCTTATTGAATGTGTGTTTAAGAGTTCCCTTTTTAGGACTGCCTGCCTTAGACAATCCAGCGGTAGTCTTCAAGCAAAATGAAAACTCGAAGAAGATGAGAAGCTTTCATTCCTCAAAAAGCAAGCTGAGATCGGGCACAGTGGCTCATGCCTGTAATCCTAGCACTTTGGGAGGCTGAGACAGGTTGATCACTTGAGGCCAGGAGTTCGAAACCAGCGTGGCCAACATGGTGAAACCTTGTCTCCACCAAAAATACAAAAATTAGCTGGGCGTGGTGGTGGGTCCCTGAAATCCCAGCTACTGGGGAGGCTGAGACAGGAGAATTGCTTGAACTTGGGTGGCGGAGGTTGCAATGAGTGGAGATCTCAGCACTGCACTCCAGACTTGGCAAGAGAGACTCCATCTCCAAAAAAAAGCAAGCTAAGGCCGAGTGCAGTGGCTCACATCCATAATCCCCGGACTTTGAGAA